TGTAATAAAAGCATTTTAAATAAAAATAAATCACATATTCATTTAATAAAATTATATTAAAATTAAAAAAAAATACCACAAAGGCATTTGTTCCTTTTCTCGAGAAGCATCTCATAATCCGTGAGTTCAAATACAAATCTCAGAATCTCTGCAACTTCTTCAATTATTTCTTTGACAATAGTATCAAGGTGAAATTGAATCTTGTAGTTGTTATGAGAGACAACACGATAAGTGTCTTTATTCTTTTCAACGGAAAAATTTTTCACATAATAAACATTTCCTTCCACCAACTTATTCTTAAATCGTAGAATATTGGAACTCCAAATGATAGCATGAATAAAATTTTTCTGCAAACAAATAATTATTGTTAATAAAATTTGTTAAATACATAAAAGAATAAATGTAATAACTTATAAAATTACCTTCTCATCGGTGAAAACCATTTTAGTAGTCAGATGGTCCCTATCACGCTTTAAACTAAAAACATCCTACAATCTGTATATTCATACTTTAATCTTCCAATCTTTTTTATTGGGTGAAAGTTGATCAAGAAATACATATTCCAGATCTCTTGCAATCGATTTACCTTTATATAACAAAATATTTTAAAATTAGAGAGAAAATGTAACATAATTAGAGAAAAAAGAAATTGGTGCTTAAAATCAAATACCTATTCATATTGAGAAAATGCAATCCAAGCAACTATAACCCTAAACACGAAGAATAGAAGGAAAACTGGAGGATGGCCAATGCCAATCATGAAAACATTTGAAAGGATCAGATTTTTCGTCTTTGGTAAATACGGTTTAGTTGTGGTATTGGTAAATTATTTTCAGTTATTTTTTATTAATAAATTTATTACTTATCATAACAATCATAATTTATTACTTATCCTGCAGCCATGAATTCTGAGAAAATAACTGTCAAGAAGATGTAACAACGTCCTTTAGGCAGGTCAAAAGGTATATATAAATTTATTGCTTATCATAACAATCATTTTATTAATTATCCTGCGGCCATCAATTTTGAAGAAATAACTGTTCATAAAGAAATAATTGTTCAAGAAGATGTAAGAACGTCCATTAAAGCAGGTCAAAAGGTGAATATAAAATGCTCACCGTATTTAATGCATAGGGTAGCATTTTATATATATATATATATAGATTATAAAAAACAACTCTCAACCGCAACCAACTTTAGTCTGTTTTTTTTTTTTTGGTAGAAACCAGCTTTAGTCTTTACTCGTGGGGTGTTTTAGATTCGGCATAATTGATTTGGTCTTCGTTAAGGCCCATGAATTGGACAAAATCATTGTTGAAGAAGTTAAGGGCCAGGAGGACTAGAAATTTCCATGCCCATGGGCCAGAGGACAGTGTAAAATAGTGTAGGACAGTATTTGGGGCCACTTTCTCGAAGCCCAGCACTCCAGGTGGTTGGTCCATGAGACCAAAATCTGAAACACAGGCTTATGTGCCTTAATAGGCCGCCAAAACACACAAGCATACCTGGTGGCCTACCATCAAACCAACATTTTATGCCCTTTAAGGGAGGTCACAGTAAATAATTCACATGTCATTGTTTCTACTCTGAGTATTAACTTAATTCACATAAATAAAACATAAATAAAGATTAAGTTGATCATAAAAAAATTAAATTAAATTGTTTAAATTGATAAGTTTGTGAGATTATTTATTTAAATCAAATTTAAAAACTTAATAAAAAATTTAAAATAAGTTCAGGGGCTAAGGTTTTACCTTTAAAAAATTACCTTTATTAGTCTAATTTCAGTTTTTGCGGAATTTTTTTTTTTCAAAAAGGGACAAATAAACAGGCAATCAAATTTCTAACTTATACTTTTTGGAAATGTACTTTTACGGTTCACAACTTTCTTAATCCTTGTTGAAACATTTTCTTATTATCTTCCAAGCAACTTTACCAAGGGGAGCTCTTTCTTTCTTGATCATCAGGGCTATCATGCTTGATATAATTAATAAAAAAATGAAATTGGGAAAAAGTTAGAGATTGTTGACATATTGCTTTGCTTTTTCGTCTTCCACATTGGATGATTATAATATTTTCAGTATTTTTTAATACAAAGATTAAATTTTAAATTTATAATTAAAAAAAAATATAATTTTATTATTAGACTATACAACTAATAACTTTTGTTTTTAGTACAAATAAATGTTGAGTTTTCATTTTCTTTTTGGGCATTTAAAATGTAATATCCCAAATTTTTGAGGTATTTTAGCATTTAATTAGGGACTTATGTGTGAAATAAATATTTTTTGGGGTTTAATAGTTAAATTTCAAAAGTTGAGGGACTAAAAAGAAAAGAAATTAAGATAAGGATCAGCTGCCTTCCTTTCTCTTTTTTTCTTTCTTTTTCTTCTTCCTAATCCGCGTGTCTGCTCTGTTCTTCTTCCCGACTCTTCTCCCCGACAGCCCCCCCCAAGCCCTCCAGCCACCGACTCATTTCTTGAGAAAATTGGGTGACCAAGCTTGGGATTTTCTCCTTCTTTTCTTGTTCTTGACCCCAGAAATTCCTCCTCTCTGCTGGAAATCCCGGATCTACTCTGCTCTTCTCCCCTGTCCGCTGGCTGCTCTTGCTTGTGGGTGTGATTTTCGGTCTTTCTTGGTAAGAAGCAGCCATGAATTCATCCTTTTAGCTTCGATCTAAGTTGGGTTCCTTTAATTTGGGTTAATCCCGTGAGTTCCTTGCAGAATTTCTTCTTCTCTGCCGCCGGCCTTCCCCCAAACCCGCCAGCTGCGGCCTTGCTTATTGAATTCCGGTATGAACAGCTTCCTTTAAGTCCAAATTACCCACTTGATTGTTGCTTGTTGAGTTTTAATTGGTTGAATTAATACCCCTGGTTGTCCGAAAATTCTGTGAAAATAGGAAGGAATTTGGCAGCCCTTTTAAATGTGTTTTGTTGTTTAAATTATGTAGAATTAGCTTAATTTGGCTGCTGTGAATTATAGAGAAAATTCCGTGTGTGAGTGTGGTTTTGCCAAGCCATTTTCTCCATTTTTCTATCCCAAGAGTTGGTAGCTTAAGTGGGGTTTTGTTTAATTTAAGTGGAAATTAGCTTGAATTGGGTTGTGTGATTTTGGAGAAAAATCCCGTAAGATTAGCTATTGTTTTGCCAAATTTGGAAGTTGAGGTTACTGTTCACTGGTACTGTTCATAGGTACTGTTTACGGGTACTGTTCATAAGCACTGTTCACGCACTGATGGTTAACCATTAACGGGGATTTAATTGTTTAGTTTGTAATATAAGAATAAATTTAGAGATGTCCGGTTATGTGGAGATTGATAAGAATAGCATCGTGATTAGGGGTGATCCTAATAATGATTTCAGTTTGAATTTGTGATAGTACGATATTAATTCTGGATATTTTGATTAGGTTCCCGATCGTTCTGTCAGTTTAGCACTGAGATCGAGTCTTCGGTTTTATGCGAGTGAGGTAAGTAAATTTATGGTAATACCCATACTGTTTTTAAAAGCATGTTTTGATTTGTTTTTGAAGCGATGGCGAGACTAAACTCGTTTTATGCAAAAGTAAGTATGACTGATTTGAAGTGAAATTTTCATGCTTTTCGTTAAATTGAGCATGCCTACTTGAGATTTAATTTATTGTCCTGATGATTTGAAAGTGATTGGTGAATTATGATTTTTCTGCTAACTTTTGCCTGTTTTGTCTCCGATATGGTTATGTTATTTCTGTAATCCTGTTAGTGAGGGTTAAATGCTAGCACATGTCGACATGTATTTCTGTAGAGCCGGTTCCTCCTGCCAGTGGGAGTTGTTAAACACTGGTATTTCTGTAATCCTGCTAGTGGGGGTTAAACACTAGTAATTTCTGTAGCCTGCCAGTGGGAGGTTTAAACACTGGCCGTGACCTATAGAGGAGACGTCTATTTCGTTTCCGTACTTGTATCCGTTTTTCTGATTACACTTGTTGGTACGCTATAAGTTTAATAAGGGCACTCCATATTTTACTTACTGAGTTTATCTCATAGTTTTTCCTTGTCCACCATTTCAGGAAGTAAAACCGAGGACGGGGAAACCACGAGAAGTGATGAGTTAGAAGGCTAGCCATTTCGAGATTGGTATAGATTCTAGAAATAGATCATGATCTTGTAAACTGGATTTTTATTGGAGATTTTATAAATTCATTGAATGGATTGTTAGTTACAAGAGATTTGATCTTGAGTTATAAGATTTGATCTTCAGATTTTGATAGTATTAGATTGTAATATGATAAGTTTCGAACCTTGTGCATTATGAGAATATGATAAGTTTCGAACCTTGTGCATTATGGGACTCTCTCACGAGTGCACAGCGTCTGTCGCGCTTCAAATTTGGGTTTTGGGGCGTGACATAAAATTTATGTCCAAATGCAATGAAATTTTATATGAATATTTTAGTTAAGCAGGGGATTCTTCTTTATTACATTTCTCTTTTAAAAACAAAAGAATCCCTATGACATAGGAATGAATGCGAAAGGGACCATCCAAGTTGAAGAAATTTCGTAGGTATGAAATCAAGAAATTTATGACCAAGAATAAAACAAAAATAATGAAATTCGACGGAAAAAGCCTAAAGCTAAGAGATTGCATATCTTATCCCTTTTTTTTTATTTTTTAAAAATTTTTTGAATTGTAAAGTAAGATGTATTAATTATCTATTTTTACTATAATAAAGAGAAGAGAATTCCTCGTTGTAAGTGGGAATCCAAGAAGGGAAAAGCAGTCTTCTTTTCTACAAATGCAATGCAGGTTGTTCTTCCCTTCCTCGCGTGCTCTGACAATTAATTACTCTTTTTATTTAATTTAATATTTTTAATTTTTAAATATAAATTTTATATAAAAATTTAACCACTTATATAAATAATAATTAAAAAATTTTATATTTTATTTTTTAAAATATTTTTGTTTGATTAATTTTATTTTAAATATCACTTATATAATATTTTAAATTTTCATTTAAAATTTATATATAAAAAATCAAAAAATTAAATTAAAACTATCAAAATTAAATGGATATAGGTTATAATGATATATTATGTTGTAATCTTATAATATTAAGTGACATTGTAATCATATATATCATTTTAGAATTTATATTCTACTTCTCATTTTTATTACTAAGTCACACAAATA